TCAGTTTTTGACATTTAGCATGAAAATACGAAACTGAGTAGAAGTTACTCTATTTTTAGTAAGTTACGTGTAGGCAGTGCTGTAAATTCTCAAAATCATTTGAACATTTTTGATGAAAATGAGAAAAGTAGCTATTCGCTATCAAAGGGGACCTCCTCCGAATGGGTGATATCTGTTGCTTAGTCATTTGACGAAGGCATGGATCATTCTCATTTGAGAAACGCTATATATCATTCGATTGAGTGTAACCTACACACAAACGGAGCTCTGGTCGACATTCCGGCGAAAAAGCAAAGCCAACCTGACACCAACCTGACTTCTATCAAACCCCAACCCGATGTTGACCCGACATTGACCCGACATAAACCCAAAATTGACCCGACATTAACACGACATTGGGTCGACATAGACCTTAAATTAGCCTTACATTGATCCGACATCGGGTCGACTTGTCTGTTCGGGACCATTTTCCTGGATTTCTTCCATACTCCTCTGTCGTATATCAAATGATACTGAGTGACTCAATTGACAGTGACAATGAGCTTCGAATGAGAAAGAGGCTCTTCAAATTATGGTCATGTGAGAATTCGTTTACACAGAATTGATTGAATGGTTGTAGTGGTTCATCTTCAATCGAATGATATGAAAATTTACAGCACTGCGTGTAGGTAAACAAAAACGATAAAGTTGAGTGTTGTGGACTGGACTTGGAGAGTGTTTATGGTTTAATTTGCAGTGATGCATTTACAAAAAATTCAAGGGACCTTTTTGACGTTTAATCATCTTTCTCTATCTAGTACACAGGGTTTGTTTTCCCACTAATCTGTTTCCCTCTTGCTCGCATTCCTTCAATTTAAATGGTGCATTAGTGTGCGCCGATTAAACGTCAAAAAGCTCTCTAGCAGTTTTTTTCGAAGCCCCTTTATTGGTAGGAAAATCATTTTTGCAGTATGGAGAATGTCAGAAAATCCACGATTTGTGACTAATAGTACGTTCAGACTACAGAGTTATAACATAGAGGTAACTCTAAGACCACTGGGTCCCGAAGAAAATCATTATTATTTTTGGCTCACTCAGTACCAGAACAACGGTTCCAAGCAGTCCCAAGCTATTTCACTCACCCCTGCATGTTCTGCATGAATCCACACACCCCTGATGTTATCTGTCAAACTTCCATAGCGAATCAAAACAAACATAGTGTAGTAATAGAATTTCAACTAGAATAGGGTACGTTAATCGTTTGCTTGGGACCAATAGGCTACTAAAGTAGTGAGCCAATTTAAAATCGTTAGTTTCGTATTGATTGTTGGTTATAACATGTTATAGCGTTATCTTGATGGTGGTTTCTGTGTTGCAATTAGTTGACAACCGTTATAACATGTTATAACTCTCCAGTCTGAACAAGGCATAATAGTACGTTCAGACTACAGAGTTATAACATGTTATAGCGCTATCTTGATGGTGGTTTTTCTGAAGCAATTATTTGACAACCGTTATAACATGTTATAACTGCTCAGCCTGGATAGCGCATAAAAATGCTTTCACAGAAGCAAACAAATTAACGAATTTTTACCTTATCATCATAGTAATGTACCCGTGCAATTTTTGTGCATCTAAAACCAACCGGTGAACACTCGTGTTTATTTCAGTTACCGTGGGAACGTAATTTGTTATTCACCCCGGTCCCTTTCAAATTGTATAATTATTTATGTACGGTCCTTATATTTGAAATGACGTTTCACATTCATCTAGTGATGGCCGATTTTCATTCGAATAATCGATTAATCGATTAACGAACCGAAAAGTAAAATAACATTTTCAATTAATTACGGATAGATAATTTTAATTACCGTCAGTACTACTTCAAAACGCATTAATTACTTTAAGTACTTTTGATTGCATTTTAACTTCAACGCACCGGTTATTTGTATTGCGTGCCCCTCGGCTTGAACATGAGACCTGGGTGAGACCCATGTAACTAAATCGAGAAGCTGTAGAGTTTCCATGAGAAAAGTTCATGTGTTTCTCTGACAGCAAATTGTACAAAAAGTTATAAATTAATGGAGAAAGGCCACAAGCGTGGAGTTTGTCTGAAAAGACTTCAACCGATACTGAATGAAAAGCCTCCTTAATATCCAAAAACACAGAAGCCATTTGCTCTTTTTTAGCAAAAGTCAACTGAATTTCTGTGGAAAGCATCGCGAGACAGTCGTTCGTTCCCTTGCCCCTACGGAAACCAAATTGAGTACCTGAGAGTAGGTAGTTCATCTCAACCCATTTGTTCAGGTGAAAAAGGATCATTTTCTCCAACAATAACATCGCGATGGGACGATACGAGTTATGATCTGACGCGGGTTATCCAGGCTTTAGCCATTAATAACTCTCACTTGCCTCCAATCATCCGGAACAATATTGAGCTCCAGGAACTGACAAAACAAGTTCAACATGCACCTCTTAGCGACGTCTGGGAGGTTCTTCAACAAGTTGAACTTGACTCTATCAACCCCCGGAGCCGAATTGCCACACGAAAGGAGAGCAAGTGAAAGCTCCAGCATTGAAAAAGGCTGGCTGGCGATAATCTGTCCACGAATTGCTGCCAGTCTCCGCGGCTCTTGGCTTTGATGAGGCTCTTGAGTTCGCGTTCAAGAGTACGCTTCGAAATGCACGGGTGTTTCACGTTTCCGGAAAAGCTTTAACGCGCCTGACTTTTTACGATAAACCTCAGTGCATTGCTGGTCCCACCAAGGGGAAGGAGGTTTCCTACGGAACGACGTTCCAGGAACCGGCCGTGTTTGAGCTTGAAGCGCGCTGTCCAAGATCAGATTGGAGAGAAAGTTATATTCCTCCAACGGTGGAAGCCCTTCTACAGACGACACGGCTTCCTCTATCGCGGTCTTGAACGTTGTCCAACCGTTATTACGGGTGAGGTACGCGACGTTAACGGATTCCGACGGATTGAACCCACTGGCAATCGAAATTTTGATTGGCAAGTGATCACTACCGTGGAGATATTGGATCACATTCCACGTGCAATCCAACGATAATGAGTTAGAGCAAAGTGTGAGATCTAATGTTCAGCTTGAATATTATCTGGATTTTTTTCAATGTAGTGCTGTAACAGGTTGTTATTGGCTATCAAAAGCAACAGCAAACGCACTGAGAAATGTTAATCCAAGCGAGTTATTAACAAAAGAGAGAATCGATCATCGCGGTTACGCTCTTATGCATGCTCACTGTCGAATTTGTAATCTGTGATAGATATGGAAGTCACTTTTTTCCCACCACGCCCAGTGTTCTTATTCTAAACTGCGAATCGCTCGGCTTCCCGGGCTGCGATAGATTAATTTCGACCTGCGAACCCTTCGCAGACTACGAGGCTGCCGAAGTGTGGCCATGGATCGAGTAGAGTGGAGACGATTTCTTCTTACAGCAGAAACCGCCTGATTGGTAAGCAGAAAGGCCTGATTGGTAAGGTAAAGTAAGAGATATTCCCGATCAACTACAAAATGTTGCATAACATTGGTGCAAAATTGTACGCTCCGTTTTTGTTGTTGTTTTTTTTTAGCGTTTTGAAGTTGAATCGCTGTGGAAACCTTATTTCTGAACAATCTCAGTACCACATAAAAATTTCAAGAGCACAAATATCAGCTCTCACAAGACTTATAACAAAGAAACTGGAACTTCACGTTTGCTGCAGTACAGTACACAAGGAGTTTCAGTTTCATGAGTGATGTCACAACCTTCCAAGATTTGTGCCCTAGAAATCTTGAAGTGATAGTCATTGTTGGACTCTTCAATGAATCACCTGACGAAAGCCTTACTCATATCAGATTGTAATTTAGGAACCAAAGGTAATAGAATATGTATTCGTATTTTTATGAGGTCCTGAATTTAACCAAGTTTTACTAAGTAGGAAATCCAAAATATGTACATAGGACCGAAATCATAGGTTTCTTCTGCTGTGTTTTAAATCAATATCTAGAAAAATGCACGAGAATTTCACTACATAGCTTAACGTAGTCTACGTCAACCATGCGGTCGTGTATTATTCACAACCCCACCATTTTTTCCTTGATTTGTTTTCAGTCGATCTTGTTTTCTGTGCAGAGCACCAATGCTACCGACGCCGGGGAGGCAGCTCCCACACCTGGACCCTATCCCCCTATCTATCGACCTATTAACTCATGAACCCGGGACCAACGGCTTTACTTCCGTGATCAGAGATGTTATGCCTCAGAACATCCCGGCGGCGCCAACTGGGGATTGAACCCAGGCCTGCTGAGGTGAGAGGTAATCACGTTTACCACTACATCACCGGCGCCGCTATATACTCGAATTAACCACCTTAAGTTACAGCTATCTATGAATCGACACAAACCCCCCTCCCTTGTCTCTTCCCTTATGGCAGCTAATACATCAATGTTGAGATGGGGTCTTGCCGATACGTTACCCTACCGGTGATGTATGCCTCGCCCTGTTTCACATTCGTGGATTACACAGAACTTATTTAACCTGCTGGTAAAGATGCTGTGATGCCACCCCCTGTCTACTGGTATAGCATGTACGGTGCATAAAATTATCGGAGACCTGGCCCTTGACTCCTTTCTATACTACACAATAACAATATTCCTTGTAGGAGAAATGGCTCTAATGTTGGCCTATGGATTAAGATTGGGCCCATCGCTAAAAATCTGCTATTTATCAATTTTATGTAGATGAACGCGTATTGGGACGGTACTAATAGATATTTTGGTAGCTATTGAAAATTTAGTCGATTGCTGAATTTGTGTATGGGCCCAAATTTGGGGCATTTAGGCCGACATTACATCCATTTACCCTATAACCTAAATATTGCATTGAAAAAATTCTTTTGAACATGTTTTTGATCGCTAGTTGAAAATTCATGACATTTCGGAATTATGAAAGATTATTATTATTTCACCCTGAATTATATAAATATATGTATATATATATATGAAATATTTTTTTTTAAATTTCAGATGAGCCTTCAGCAGAGTACGCAATCGCCTATGATAAATCACCAGGATTAACACGTTCCATTTCAAAATTAGATCTAGGAAAGTTTCTGATTGAATCATTATTTGATGACCAACACGCAGGAAAAGTTATTGGTATGTGCACAAAACCTGCTTGCTGATGATATTGTTATTACAAAAATAGTATGAACTTTAATAAACATAAAAAAACATAAACAAACACATTTAATACTGTTTTATTAATATCATTCATAGTTCATCAGATAGAATGCATAGTCAACAATAAATCACAAATCGTATCCTCTCTTTTAAACGAATGATTGTAAACAACACGCCTAATGTTACGAATCAGCTCATTGATATTCAGCATCGGATGTACTACTTTGTTACAATTGTCCATTTCATCGTCGCATTTTTTAGGATGTAAGAAGCATTCATTTTTATCTAAAGCGTTACTGTTGCCACCATCTTCTATTTCCTCTACTTCCCAATCTGAGAAAATTTTCTTCATCCAATGCTTTTTGCTTGGTGTTTTCCTTATGGCGTTCGTTCCAAAAAGATTTATAGCTTTGCAAAACATGTAACCTAACTTAGCATAAAATACTTCCTGACCGTCGGTTGATAAGTAAATGTTGTTAATATTAAGAATTCTGCTACAATACCGTTCTGCTTCTGTTACCAGATGTGTTCCAATACCGCGGCCACGATAGCGATAGTCTACGACAACTGACTCCAGATATGCAGCATCAATATCACCGAGAACTGGAGACAGTTTCGCGTGTCCAAGAACTACATTTTCCCCATTAATCATTTGAGCAAGCACCAACGTTATGGGCAGGGTATCCGTAGAAGTTTCGAAACTCATAAAACGAGCCATACGTGATCTCGGCCATTCGGTGTTAATCAAGCGAACGCATTGTTCCTTCAGTTCAGGATGATGGTGGATTGGGGCAACAACGTATGGTTCGTTAGATGTATCTGGTGGAGGACCCTGTTAAAGAATCAATGGTTATTATTATTTGTATGGCCTAAACTGTTGCTATTGGCATAACAGTTCCATGTTGATAGGAAATCCAAAGGATACTGTGATGCGAATAGCTGCAGTAAACAAAATCGCCTTTTTATATCGAGTCAAAGTTGTTGTTACCAAATCGGTTTTGATTTAACAAGGCACAAAATTTATGTGAACCATATTAAGTGGAACGTTTTGACGAGGATACTTGCATCATAAGCTTTGCGTGGCTGTACACTCCGTTGTTGATAGTAAGTGTCATCATCCTCATCCTCATTATAGTAGTAATAGTAGTAGTAGTTTTGACGTTGAAAGTACAAGTCCTCGTTTAGTTTGCTCTGCTCTTTCGTAATCCAATCGTGGGGACTTCGGGTTACAAAGAATTTTTTTATCATTTCAGGAGATTTCTCCTGCTCATATTCGTAATAATATTCATATTCTTTGATGTTAGTTTGCTTTTCGCGGATATCTATTTTTGACTGATAGAAACTGTACTGAAATTTTAATCCCATCACTTGAAAATCTCTTGTTTCGACAAAGATATTCTCAATGTTTAGATAGTAGCAATGATCGTCTCTTACTATTACTTCTAGCAAACATCTTCTGGCACATGACGGAATCTTGGACAATGAACAATACGCAATCACTTTAACTCTATCTGAACAAGCACTTTCCAGGATTATGTAGGGTGGTAATGATGTAACCGCTTCCAGTTGTTTAAGCTCGACTTTTCTTCTGCGTCCCCACTCACAGTTAAGCTGCCTATTGCATTGCTTATAGTACTTATTCTTATCATGGATTGGCAGAACAAAGAAATAGTTTGTCGTAGTTATAGGATACTTGTGAAGAATATTCTGAAAGTTAAGTAAAAAGTAAATGATTGAATATTTTATTTTGAAATCCTTACTTTGGAAACATTTCAAGAACATTTAGTAATAATAATGCTGACTGGGTTAATTAGCTGACGAAGACAGGGTTGCCTACCAGAGATGATGTGTGAATACTTGATAATTTTAGTAATGATCGTTGAATATTCCGTTTTGCAAGCATATCTACATCTATCTAAACTATTTTCCTCCCTTGTCAGCAAACTTTAAAACAGCTTTCTCTTCCTCTAATGGCGGTAAGCTCCAACTCGGATTAACTTTTAATACCGTCACTGTTTGGATGATCTGCAACATATTATTTGCTTAAAAGGTTCAATTTACTTTGATGCATTTTCGAAAAATTCAAATGCAGTTTTTTTCGGCGCATCATTTCAGATTGCAAAAAGCTCGCGTTTAATGTGAAGAGCATTTAGTTCTTTTAATTAATCATATCGTCTGGTCAATTTCACAGAGATGGTGCTATTCAACTGGTAAGAAGTGATACAAATCTCCATATAGAAATTGAGAGAACTGGGAATAATTCGCTTTTGGTGCATATTCAGGTAAAAAAAAATAACGAAAACCTAAAGAAATTAGACTTTGTCGTTCAGATTTTTCCCGGAAATTATTGTTAAACATGCTACAATTAATAAAAAAAATGTTTTTTTCCCATAATTTTTTTTACCGCTTTACTACCAGTCCCCAGAGAGCCAAAAACATTCAAATTTGAGAGAAAATTCTTTCTCACGAGATCAATCTCTCAACATGCCATGTACTTCGATTTCCCTTTCACAGATTACAAAATAAAGTACCTGACACTACAAAACATATACAGGGTGTTTGGTTCCGGGTTTTACATATTTTCAGGGTAGATAGAGCTCCTAAAGTTATGAAAAAAAACCCCTTGAAACATAGGGTCGGAAATGACTGCTAAGTGAGTTATTCAACATTTTATGTTTTTTTGTATTGCCAACTTTGGTTAGCTATATTTTTTTTAATCTTAATGTGGTTTTCTGATTTCAACATACCAAATAAAAGATTAAAGTCTTAACTATCAATGCTCTTTGAAAAAGAACTCGATTAAAGTTAATTATCATACATTAAAATTGGAAAGTATGTTGAAAGTACCAAAAAAACTGGTGAAATTTCATACATTTTAGTGTTTTTAAGTTGAAAATTTTCATTTCTGTTTATTTAGTTGTTCTACAAAACATTTTCCATGCAGTTCCCTAGATTTGTGCCTTTGGTAGTAACCTTGTAGGCTTTATGGTTTCTTCGTAATTATTAATTTAAAACAGCCATAAAAACTTGTGACGTTTTCTTAAAACGCGCTATAGTCACCCTATTCGTTCGTACGTTCGGCTGTTCCAGTGGACTACGCACATGAAAATTTGGTAGAATGTTATTGTAGATGTTTAGCTACATTCTTAACTTTTGATTACCGCACATCTAATGCGCCGAAAGAAAACATAACTGCGGAGATGTTTCGCGGTATCGAATATTGCTCAGTCTCAGCAGAAAACACAACGAGAAACACCGAATCAGCGAATTCTGAGAGCGGAAGGGAGAGAAGTAGGTAGTGGTAATAAGTCGATGTCCTTTTTATTTCATAGCACTCGCAGCTCAGCTGTGGTGCTGTTTCAATGGAGGAGTGGGGAGCTCCGCTGCTTCTGTATACACACTTAGATTTTTTTTACAGGAGTTAGTATTTTTACTTGATTTTTGGATTACTGACTCGGTTAAAATTCAAATGACTGTTGTCAACACCGCAGGGCAGCAAACCCAACACAACGGTGTGCGTAGCTGCGGTTGGCGTACCTAATGTTATTGCCGTTTCGTACCGTTGTCAGAAGTGAAGAAAGGGAAGAGAAAAACAAAACCAAAACAAACCAAACACAATTTATAAATGGACATTGTTAGCAGATAGAAATTGTTAGCAGATAAAGTGAAATTATACAGGAATTCAAGGAATATTTTGGATCATAAAGTTCGTCTATACTGTGCATCTGGTTCCCCTTCGGCGTCCCGAACATAGAAGGAAATTATAATTTGGAACAGGCGTATAGGAAAGCTAGCGACGATTTGAACGGGAGAATTCGTGGTAAATAGAAGGAAGAGCTAGAACGAGGAAACGGTTGTGTAGCGCACAAAAGTAGAATTAGACCACTTCTTTTTGAGCTGCCACAAAAAAAAAGAGGCTGCTACAAAAATTTTGGTTTGGTATCCGAACAACTGTTGTTCGTTCGTAAAGGTTGGATAAAATCGAATTTTTTTTATTTTTCATCATTACACGGGGTTAACAGAAGTTAGTCTGTAAATTTTCGTAACACATTTTCTCAACTTTGATTTTTTCACAGATTTTTTAAATTTTACCGAAGAGTTCCGCAATTCAAAAACTCGGTAAAAATTACTGACTCGATAAGTGTGTACTGATGTATGGTTGGTGAAGAGGCTTGCATGTGGAGGGTATTCTCGGGCTAGTGAATGCCACCCATCCCCACTTATAATTAATTATATGATATGAGTAGTAGCTATTCTGAAGATCCGAGAGATGTCGCCCCTTCAGTGGTAGGAAAATCATTTTTGCAGTATGGAGAATATCTGAAAATCCACGATTTGTGACTTAATATGCTTTGACAGAAGGAAACAAATAAACGAGTGTTTACCTTATCACCATAGTAATGTACTCGTGCAATTTTCATGCATCTAAAACTGCCCATAAAGACGATAATGAATAAAAACTGAAAATTTTCATGCATTTCGAAATGGTTTCCTACCATTCCCATACATTCAAAGTGACTGGCCCTCTGGATGTGGATGATGCTAAAAACAACAAAACATGATTAATTCTACACACTATTTATTATAAACTGTTTATTCATTTCTGTTTGATATGTTTACAAAGTTTGCAAACAGAAATAAGCATTGCAGTGTAGTTACCAATTTTCCAAGTCATTGACTTCAGATAACTGTTCAAAGTCCCAGATTTTTTTATAACGGAATCATGAACAAAAAACCAAAGACCACTATGACAAACGCGATCGGTCTGAAGGGATCTTTACATAGAAATTTTTTTAAGGTGATACGATCCAGAACCTCGGGCTCTGGTTCCACTTCGTTTTTTCCAGGAGGCCATTATCTGCTACCGGAAAACATACCGACCCTATGTTTCATGGGGATTTTTTCATAACTTTAGGAGCCCTATCTACCCTGAAAATATGTAAAACCCGGAACCAAACACCCTGTATGCATTTAGATTAACATCCGAAGTCCCTCCTTTTTCAAATATTCTGCACAAAAGATGCTTTTTGCCC